GACTCTTAATCTCAGGGTCGTGGGTTCGGGCCCCACGTTGGGCGCCAGAATATGTGGGATGGTCACGGGTGGTAACCGAAGGGTTCAGCGGCGGTCTCTAATCAGGAGACGCCAAGCCTACTCCCACACCCCGCAGCTTTCTCTCGAGAACACCGCTACGGGCGGGTCCGAACGTCAGCCGCACAACTGATCGCTTCTCTAAAAAGGAGGAGCACGTACCACAATAGGACTGGGTCCAACGGTGTTTATTGGAACACCAAAAGACACACTGTCCCCAAAACCCCCGCGCCGACAAGGTCAGATGAAAGGCTCACCCTGTCGGATGGTCACGGGTGGTAACCGAAGGGTTCAGCGGCGGTCTCTAATCAGGAGACGCCAAGCCTACTCCCACACCCCGCAGCTTTCTCTCGAGAACACCGCTACGGGCGGGTCCGAACGTCAGCCGCACAACTGATCGCTTCTCTAAAAAGGAGGAGCACGTACCACAATAGGACTGGGTCCAACGGTGTTTATTGGAACACCAAAAGACACACTGTCCCCAAAACCCCCGCGCCGACAAGGTCAGATGAAAGGCTCACCCTGTCGACACCGTCCCGAGAGCGCAGTCCGGAGCGGGCCAAGGAAGTCCTTCGCGACACGTCCGATCTCTATCGCATCCGCGGGAGGAGTCCCTTTCCCGAAAGCGGGAAAACAAGAGGCGAAACCTCCTCGCCTGTCAGCAGTGATCCGCAACCGAGCGGGGAGACGGAAAGAGGTCCCCCCCGGGAGAGAGTGAGAGGAGAGCCCCCCAAGCCAGGCGGCCCTCCGCCTCACGAACAGGTCGGAGCTCACGGCGAAGAAGGCCGAGCGTTCCGACCCGCGGCCGTTATCACAGCCATCGGGGAAGGGAGACCAGAGGAATCCCCACAGCGTGCAAGCGCTGGGCCCGTTGTGAGACGCCGCAAGAGGCGCTCGCGACGACGCGGACTCAAGTTACCCTTACAAAAAATTATCAATGAGTTTCTAATGAGTTTGCGTGGATTCACCATAGTCGGTCCCAGCTTAAGAACAGCGGGACAATCTTCTCCCGACCCCATTCTTTCCATTTTAGCAGAACAATCGCTGAAGAGAAGGCGAGAGGAGGAAACCACCAATCAGGGCGAGTTGAGAAGTTCGTGGGAGGGGCTTGTCCCGCTATTCTGAACCGTCAACAACGAGGTACAGGCGCTTAGACTGATAAACCGGAAGTTCGAAAGTGGCACCCTCCCGGTTGGCGCCATTTTGTACGCAAAAGTAACTACTCGTCACGTGTTCTCGGAAGAATCGTGACGTCACCGGTGGGCATGAGTGTACCGACCGGAGGGGCGGGGGGGGGGGGGGGGGGGGGGGAGGGGGGGAGGGGGGGCGCTTGCCTCCCAGTTCTCAGAGTGGGTGCGCAAGACACGTACTTCCTTAGTATATTGAATATGTTCTTTTTCACGTGATTACATGATTATTGATTATTACCAAACGGTTCCATAACAAGTACTTTCTGCGACAGTCTCTCGTCAGGCGTTCAGTCATAGTGCCTATGCTTAATGTTGTCTGATGACGCTCCAGGTCGTGGCACGTCGGTGTTCAGTTCGGTCGAGTGGTGAATATCCCTTACACCGCCTTCTCCTGGTCCCATGTCATGTGCCGCCACTGACATCTGATGCGCTGAAGCTGCAGGGCTGGCTTGTAATCAGCAAGTTTTCCAGAAAGTTTTCTGCATTAATGCAGCGCGTTTGGTCATGTATTGCTTATGTGGTTGTGCCTTTTGCTGTACCGTTGACTCGATGGCTGGCAACGATGTTTGTTTGCTATCCAAGCTACTTCACTTCCATTCCGCAATGGCGATTTCCTCTGCATGCCGCGGCCACTGCCACTTGTTTAAGCCTCGTGTGGCAAAGTGAAGTTGGGTGGTGCTTAGTATTCAGTTTTTGAGAACGACCGACCATTATATTTCTACAAGCCACTCAGCGGCATTGTCCCTCAAAGTTGGGAATCGTGTGTTTCGTGGAATGGACACAGGTAATTGGTGTCGGAAAGTTATTATTGCTCCCAGACGACGACCAACACCAAACCAACTGTCATTACATTGTCGCTCACCTGCTGTGTTGTGCCTAGAACAGTGTGTCGTGGTTACCTCCCGTCGAGGTGACGGGAATCAGACGCTTCGAGGTAGTGTCAGCACCGGGGACCAAGGCCGCCGAAGATACTCTTCAATGTCCCGTGGTTCCTCCCCGAGACGTGGTCGAGGGTCATTCCGCACGAACCCCCGCAGGCCTTCATCGGTACGGGCACCTACGGTAGACGGTCGGCCTCATCGGAGTGGTAGCAAAGTGGTTGGTTGTCGACCGTTCGCCATACCTCCGCTTTCGTCGGTGTACGTTGTTCAGCGCGTACCTACAGTGGTTCTTCCTGGTGTCGGGAATACTGCGGCGTTGGGGCATCCCGTCGAGTTGGCGTCGGGTAGTAACGGGCAGCCGGTGGCGGCCCTCGTGCCATTGCGGCGTAGGTCGCCCTCAGTTTGTCGGATGCCGCTTCGCTCGCAGTCTCCGGTTGAAATGCCTGCTGAGCTTCTCCCGAATAATCTCGGCAATTGAAACAAAAGCCGGGCGACTGGTGGCACGAAGCAGCTTCCCAATCATCTCCTGGACAACGTCGTAGATGATGTCACAAATGCCTGGGAGGCTGGCGTCGAAGTTGCAGCTGGACAATTCGAGTGTCGAGACGCAGGAGAGTCGTTGATAGTGAGCGGCTTGAACATGCAGTGCTTGTTAAATGTTGGAAGCCTCGGGGATAAACCCTTCGACTGTTGACGGAAGGTTGCGGGCAAGGCTGTCGAAGATGTCCCTCACGCCCCGCATGGGGATCTTCAGCTTCTTGTCTTCTGTAGCATGAGGGTCGGCGCGAGCGCTCGATCAGGCGCAAAACCATCTCCCCGAAAGCGGCGACGCTTTCGTTTGAGCCCTGTGTCCTGGACCGAATCTGGACTTAGAATCTCTGTCGTTAATGTTGGCTGACGAACGTGCGCTTCAGCTCAATTTTGGAAACTTCCCACGACGTCAGGAAGGGTTCGTGGTTGTCAAACCAGTGCCTGGCAGTTTATTCCACGACAAGTATAGATTCTTCAGGTGCAGGTCGTCTGTGCACCCGCTGTGGCGGGCAACACTGTCCTATTAGTCACTCCAGTTCTCGACGTCTTCATACACCTCGCCGTAAAAGGGCGTTGGAGTGCGAGTGCACTCCAACCGTGGTTCAGCCGTGGCCATAACCAATACCACCTAAAAGCCAGGACTTGTGCCTTTTCTTCTCCAATGGCACCACTGTAGTCTTTTTTGACTGTTGTTCCCCTTCTCCAGGGATTATTTTCTTAATTCTTCTCCAGCTCGCTTCCACCTTTGCATTTAATTGCACTGTAATTCTAACCTTAAAATGCAAGCTGTTCACCTTTGTTGGTGTTAGACTCGTGGCAGCTGATAAAACCCGTTTGCTCTACTGCCGTCTAACCCCTGCTTAGTACAGTTGGTAGAGCGCTTTACTGAAAATGGAGAGGTTCCGGGTTCGATACCCGGACCAGGCGGATATTTTTGGTCGCGCACGAGTCATCTAGCTGTATTTGGAGATTTGTATTTGTCCTTTGTCCCTCTTGTTCCCCTTCTCCATGGAATATTTTCGTCATTCTTGTCCAGCTCGCTTGTGACTTTGCATTTAATTGCCTTATAAACAGTCATACGTTGGAGGAAACTGAGAGCGAAGCATACGACCATATAGGTTCTCGCGTCAATTGGGATCGAAGATGGCGAAATGGGCGTGGCCATGGCGTTCGCGTGGTGTGTCAGTGACGTAGTTGACGAGCTGTCAACGAGGCCACGCCAGCTGGTCAAACTCTCCCCTATATATGGTGCTCCGCGTGCCCGGTTTGGACGCCCTTGAACCGCAGCCCGTGAATGCACGGCCGGCGGTTCCGTTTTTTGACCCAACGCGTGTGTGTCAGCCCAACTGATGTAGGACACCGTACCCGATGCCGCGCGTCGTGATGGGGGACTTCAACGTTAACGTTAAGGCCCGTTCACACTCTTGCGACCGAGTAAGACCGAGAGAGACCAGACCGGTTTTTAAGCCTCTTGCGATCTCTTAGGACCAGCTCCGCAGCGCACCCGGTCCTAAGAAACCACAAAAGGCTTACAAACCGGTTTGGTCTCTCTCGGTCTTACTCGGTCGCAAGAGTGTGAAAGGCGCTTTAGAGGCAGACACAGCCAGTGAGTGCTAGAGCACATGTGGTCTCGGTACGGACTGACGCTCTGCACGGACACTACCCAAGTCACGTGGTGCAACAGCACCACTATAAATTTGATCTTCAGTGGCCAGATAACATTAAAACGGCGGCATATGTGGCGTACTTCACGTTGAACAAGCCGCCCATGCACAGGGTTTTTTTTTTTTGTTTTCTTTTTCTTGGGGGCGAAGCTTTCTGTTTTAGCAGCTCTCGTGTCTTATTTAAATGAAGTCACATGCTCGCGCGAGCAGCTTTGATAGTGTTATATCGAAGCGCAGCCAGTAGCACCTAGAAGACAAGGCTTGCGCATGGCGTGATCATATCCCCGACCCAGCTGAAGCGGCAGATGCGCTGAGGCTCCACTAGAATACGCGGCAATACGGCAGACGCGTCGGCCTTGGCGTCGCCATATCCTACGTCATGCTGACGCAGGATGTGGCGGCTCTGCGCTAATCCACTGTCGATGACGTTTGGGGGAGTCTATGTGGTATATAGTAGGCCACTGCGGGGCACAGACGCATATTTGCATATTTGCTGGCTCTAACCACGGCCGCCATGGCGCACAAGGTGACACTACTACTAAGCGTTGTTATGTATGAAGAGAATAGAAGGGGGGAGGAGGAGGGCCAATTGTGGATGCGCACCGGGCGCGTTTGTCACTGGCTCCAAGGTGATATCTTGGCGAACCAGGCGGACACGACGCCCCCGATGTGCGCAGAGCCCAAGGACGGCGAGTCTCTCAAGAGGCGTCTGGAGAAGGACCTGCGCAGCCTTCTAGGCGGCGAGACGAGCGTGGACCATCACCGGGACCACGCGGGTGGCAGGGCTCATCGAGCTTCGCCGGTTGCCCCCCGGAGGGCCTGTTACGGCAGTCCGGTCGTCGAGCGGGCCGCCTCTCCAGCGCCCTGTTCCGCTTCGTCATCGTCGTCGTCGCCCGAGCTCGCCAGGAAGGAACGGCGCCGCCGCAGGTGAGGCTAGAGCGGACTAGTACTCGAGTTGCCGTATTTTAAATACATTTGTGAGTAACTTAATTCGTATTTAAGAAATATCTCTGAATTTGAGTATTTAGTACTTAACAGAACGGATAGCTGGGCTGGTTAATACTTGTTCATAATATAATCAAAGCGACTGATAAGGAACGAAGAAGGACTGGACGACACGAGCGCTGAAGCTTTACTTAACTACTCTAACTGAAATTCTTTTCGCAAGTAACTTCTACCCCCTTGGTAAACCACTCTCAAGTTATTGCAGCCTTTTTTCGGGAGGAAAGAAAATGGAGGTCAGTGCGTTACCCTTTCCTTCCTTGTACTTGTTCTGCAGAGAAGAAACAAGGTTTTTTTGTATCAACTCGGGGCAAAAACTAATACACAGTAGCGAAGAAAAGATTTTTGTGGAACGCTTTATCTAGTTGTGAATTCCCCTGGTAGATCCGGAGCGCTTTCCAAAATCCGCTAGGGAGGCGAAATTCCGCTCCGCGGGACCCGCTCCAAATTGACGAGCGGAAGATGGACTCGCATTTTTGGAGTGACCCGCTCAAAACGGTCGGCCGTTCAAAATTGCCGCTGCTCGAACTTGACAAGCCGACCAAAGCGTCCGACTGATTTTTCCGACTACCAGTGACAACTGTCACTGCTTAGCTGCAGAAATAACACGCGACACAGGCTTGGCGAAAATATCCGTACCGCGGAGCCCGTTTCACAAAAATAACGAAGACGTCCGCGTTTGCTGCCGTCATATACATTTCAGCCGCCTCGAAGCGGCGAGGCACGCACTGCGATCGCCATTGGTGGACTTCAGATTGCTGAATTTCGGAATGGGTCTACTGTCACGAGGAAATAAAGATTGAGCAATGAAACTCGGTTAGGAGTTTAGTTTTTTTTTCTATTATTCGCCAGGCCAACGTCACGCACTTCTGCCAGCAATGGACGGCGTGCCGGTGGCCACTGTTATACAGAGTGTCTAAAACAGCAGCCAGGCTCTTTAAATCGACCGCAAAATTCTTTTTCTTAACCTATCGCGCTACGATTTTGTGCAGCATTGCCCGCAGGTGATACCTTTCTTCAACGAAATTTGCAAACTTAGCTGAGGCAAAAGTTAAAAAAAAAAAGAAAAAAGGCTTAGCTCCTATGGAAACGCAGCGAAGCCATTGATCTTCAAACAACAGGGCGCCGTTTGGCACGGAAGACAAGAGATGGCGCAAGCGGTTGCGAAGCCAATTGCCGCCAACGAACGAGCATACTGCGCCGTGAGCCTGCGTCAAATAGCCGACAATCTGTGATTTTGATCACGACGTTGTCGTAGTGTCAAATCTTTAAAGGGGCACTGACACATCAAAATCATATTTTTTTTTATTATCCGAAACGATTGAAAACGATGCCGGGACATTACCCTCAAAATTTGAAATTTGGGAATTCAGTATTTGTGAAGTAAAAAAACAATTTCCAAATGCCGAATTCGAAGTTCCCGCGCGATCGGCGCCGGTGCCTTGACGTCAAAAATCGCGGAGACCTGAGAGTCGACTTTCTTTCACCACTCCCTGCTGTTGCCATGGCGACCCAAAGCGAGGAGGAAAGGAGTGAGCGGCGGCGTTACGGCGGACCGGTTTTGAGCGGTGTCGCCTGTTTTCCGTTGGAGGATACAAATCCAGGAGACGGCACCACAACGAACTCCCGATTTTTGGTATTTCAAAAAGAAGGGCCGTAGTGCGTTCGCAATTGCGTTAAAAAACATGTTTTACGATTGCCGTTATTAAATGTTATAGAGATGTCGCCTACAAAGCTTCTAAATTTCCTGATTTTTGACGTCACCGATCAAAAGAAGCGAGGAGGCGAGAGGCGGGAAAATCAAACGCCAAAAATAAAAAGGCGCGCGCGCGCGCGGGAAAATTTTTTTTCGCGATGCGTTTTTTTTTTGCGTGTCTATGACTGCAACTTGCATCGTTTTAGACAATAAAAATAAATATGACCTTTGGGGTGTCAGTGCCCCTTTAAGTTTTGCGACTGCACGGTAATCCAGGGGTTTGGATTGCCGCCGGATGGGTCGGATCAACTTTGGCTTGGGGTTGAACTGCTCCGATTTTCATGTTTTAAAGCTTTTTCGGTTCGGAACTAAGAGACTGCGAACATAGCAACAAGGTGGAAAGTTGGGTGAGTTGGTTGATGGTCATATTAAATGGGTTAAAACAGCGCAAAAAAAGACGAAGGGCCAGTAAAAGGAAACACACAGACACAGCGCTGACTTACAACTTAAATATTTACTGCTGCGCCATTCAGCAAGTAAACTTGAAAGGAGACAAACATAAAAGCAATCGGCCCGATAACACGTCATCCTCCACTCAAGCCGATACGTGGCTACACGTATTTACCCGCCTTTCTGATAAAATTCAATTCATCACTAACCAGGGCAAGTGGGGGAACACTAAATGCACATGCCTGCGTCATGGTTGGCAATAAAAAAAGTTTCGTCAATCTCCCGAGCATACTTAGTTTTATGTCGGGCTAAAATCTTAATTTCATTAAGCACTGGAGACACGCACATCTGTCACAGTGGACCGCTAGGTTGCCAGACGGGGAGGAGCGTAAGGACCGAGAATGTTCCCTCGCCCGGTCGTTAACACATCTCCCCGTCTGCCCAATGTACACTTTTCCACAGGACAACGGAATAAGGTACACCACCCCACACGCGCAGGCGACAAACGGGTTGCGGTGCTTAACTTGACATTGTGAACCCACGCGGCCACCTCGATTCACGGCTGCACACAGCCGCCCCAACTTAGCTGGAGCCGAAAACACAACTGGCACGTTGTACCTACTGGCAACCTTCTTGACACCATGGGACACCTTGTGCATATACGGCAAGACCACAGGTCTTACCGTTGGTTTTTGTCTTACCTCAGTACAAGCAGGGCCTCTAAACACCTTAACCAAGGATTCCACGACGCCCATGACAACTCCCAAAGGGAAAACAGCATCTGACAACCTCGTGACTTGCAACAAAAAACTGTCACCACACCTATGGTGGCATGACTTAAACAGGGCGGTGCGGAGACTGGACAGTGCCATGGCTCTTTTCACTGTCTTAGAGTGTGCGGATTCATATACTAAGAGCCCCTTCTCAGAGAGGCGTGTAAATACGTGTAGCCACGTATCGGCTTGAGTGGAGGATGACGTGTATCGGGCCGATTGATTTTATGTTTGTCTCCTTTCAAGTTTATTTGCTGAATGGCGCAGCAGTAAATATTTAAGTTGTAAGTCAGCGCTGTGTCTGTGTGTTTCCTTTTACTGGTCCTTCGTCTTTTTTGCGCTGTTTTAACCCATTCAATATGACGAACATACCGTTTCGAAACGATCGTCGTCTTCTCCTGCGTGTTCAGGAATCGCTCCACAAGAGCAATCACTTGGTCGTCGTCCTTGAGGTCCTTCCCACGCAGTGGAGTCTTCATGCGAGGAGGAAGTCATAGCGACTTCTTCCTGTTCCCTCGCATGAAGACTATACTCAGTAGGACTAAACTCCTCCCCGAGGTTCATTGCTGAATCTCCATTCCTTCCTGACAACAATACGAACTTCTTGAACGCCCCTTGTATATGGCCCGCTTGCGGAGCATATTGTTAAATGGCTCGCCGTTTGATCGTCCAAGTGTTGCGGGAAGCGACCGTTGCATTTGCAGGAGATGCTTTCACTCTCACCTCGACCAAACTCGGACCCTTGAGAACCTACAAATATGACGAATTCAGGGCGTATTTGGGACATGTACCGGAGACGGGCAGTTTTTTCCCTCCGAGCATGATTGCGATGGATTTTCGAAGGCCGTGTCTCTGCAACGTTCGCGCAGACCCCGGAAGAACGAAGGGACCCAGGTTTGCCTTTCCGGGCCACGTGACCGGAAGGGGGCGGGGCCCCAGCGGCGGCGGCTCCTCACCTCCCCGGCCAGCCAAGACGTCGCCTGGGTCGCGTCCACGTCCACGAGTCGCACGGCCGAGGGTCGTCCGGTGGCTCCACACACTGTGAGCACGGAACCACGAATAAATCAGCGAATCAATCCACCAATCAAAGAATTAATCAGTCAGTCACTCAATCAATTTCTTATATTTAGTGATCAAATTATGATTGTGTCCAATAAACATACAAAAGAAACTAAAATAACGTGCTTTTTTAATTAATTTCATTACTATCGTTGTCTTAATCATCATTTATTTCCCTCGATGTCCCGCAAGGGGTATTAAGCGAGGAAGTGGACATACATATCTACACGTACAGCTGCAACGGAAAAAGAGTAGCACAAGTGACCGATGACCGGAGCGGCAAAATCGCGACACGTATAGAGCGCGTCGATAGCGAGAGTGCCAGTCACCTTGCATATCTCAGCGTGGGGGTGGCCGCCAGAAAATTGGGGGATAAGATAGGATTTAAAATGCGGGCTTTATGATGGGCTGCTTTCTGCCGGCTGCCCCCGCGTTGAGACAGGGACCGTGACTGGCACTCTCGCTATCGGCGCGCTCGGGAACAATAGAGAGTTTTAGGGAACCGTTTTTGCACCTCCGATACGGTACGATGGGCCCTCCGGTACGAACTGCGCATGCGCCTGTCTTCTGCGATTTTACCGTAATGCGCTGGCCGAACCGTAAGGCACGACCGGCACGGCCAATGGCCGACATGGACAGTCTCGCTTGGTGAGCAAAACGGCTATTTCGCTGGCGGAGGGAGCGTGCCGGGGCTCCAAACATGAAGAAAATAACTCGTGGCAGTGCCTGGCAGGAGCGCCATGTGTGACAGCAAGTCCACAAAGTTTGAGTCAGCAAATAAGAAAAAGAATAAAGACCAAAACGCAATTGGACTTTTTTAATTGAAATAAATTAGTGTTTAGTGTACACGAAAGTCGTCTGCTCGGTAGTTAAGTGGATTGGAGCGCCGATTTGTTGAACTCGTAGTGGAGCGACAGTGGTGAGTTCGAATCCCGCTAGCCCAAACATCTTTTTTTTTTTTTAACATTTTATAAGTTTTTTTTTTTTTTTTTTTTACAAACATTGGATGTGCATTTCGAGCACTTATCACCCGTTTTTTACAGCTGCTGTTATGACTGAGGATTTTCTGTAGTGGCAAGAGCGAGCAACAGCCTTCTGCATCATGGCTCTGGATACTTTTTAGTTTAAAAATGCTGCATGAATTAAAAATTTCTGTACAAATGCTAATCACATATATCCTATAAAACGAGCCCTTTGAATATTGGGTGATAGTTTTAATAGGTGCACAGCAGTAAAGTTACAGGTTTTGCTTTATATTTTCTTCGTGGTCGTACCGTACCGTACATGGCGCAACGATCGGTACGCGGGCGTACGACCGTGATCGTCTGCTATCTGTACCGTAAGAGAGCAACATGAGCGCCGCATCTATCTCCGTCCCTCCGCCTCCTCCTCGCAAGCGGTTTACAGCAGAATACATCTTTCTACTTCGGGAGGTGCTAGGCGCTACTCCTTTTTCACTCCAGCCCTTTGGAATGACGCAGCGTTGTAAAAGAACTTCTCGTTGCAAGGAGCGAAGGAACGGATTGACCTCCTCGTAAATAAAAATAGAGATTTGAGACGTACTGTAAGATACGTCATTCCAAAAATATACACACTGTATGGAAAGAAAAACAGAAATCATTACATTCCTTCCTTATTTAACGAACTCCCAGAGTACCTTATGAATATAGAATCCACTAGGGTACTAAAAAGGAAACTAAGGAATTGATGTCAAGCATCTGAGCTGTAGATATCGTAGCTTAACCGTTGGAGATATTTCGTACTTTTATTTCATGGTTGCGTGAGTAGACTTGGCTATAAACACCTATATTTCATGCTCTAAAGTTTTCCTTTTTGTATTTATTTGTGCTGCTAATTTAAGGTTTATTTCATTCTTTTTTTTTTTTGTGCTGCGGAGTGTTTTTTTTTTTGTTTGTTTGTAATAACATGTATTCTAGCTGGTCGCCTGGCCCCACATACAAGCAAAATGCTGCTTTTGTGGGCCAGCTCTTTATTTTGTATGACTTGATCTGAAAATAAAAATTGAATTAAATTGAAAATTGAATTGAATTATCTTTGTACAAGAAAACTGACCGCATCAACTTGAGAAACTGTGTATATTTTGGTTATTTTTGTATTTTTTTCGAGATTTAATACTTCTAGTTTTATTTGTCCATAGCTTTCTTAATACTCAATCCTGCATTGGGCTTCGAGGGAAAGAGACAGGATCGCTAGCAGACGACTTCGAATGTTGATGCGCGAGCGTGTTCTTGAGCCAAATCGAGCGTGTTCTTGAGCCAAATCGAGTTTGCTTTCGGCACCGTTTCAGCATATCAGGAGGTGGTTGGTGTAAACATCATATTTGGCTGATGTAAAACAGCAAAGCTTGCCCGCTGAGAACGCATGATTTATTAGAAAACAAGCTACCATGTCCGGTCGAGACATTATTTTATTCCCCAAGTATATAAATCTGGTAAACTGAAAAAGAAAAAAAAAATACGCTGGCACATCATCCCTGCTATCACAACTTTTTTGTATATTCAAAAGCTACGCGAAGTTGAACGTCCTACGCCTTGCCGCCAACAAGCGCCTTCTCTTAGTGTATCGGTGCTCGGTGGCACCTGAAAGAAATGCGACTGACTCCGTGTCACGGCAAACCAAAAAGAATGTTTATTCCCTCGTGCCCCTGCACAAGTCACGGGCCCCACCAGTGGCGTCGGAACAGGGGGGGGCAGGGGGGGCGACCGCCCCCCCAGAGATTTTTTAGTAAAGGCGGCTCGCGAGCTCGATATTTCGCAAATTTCTGAGAGTGCGATTTTTAAGATATTTCGCGGGCATGAATTTCTCGCATTAGTGTCATGATGATATTCATCATCATGGAATTAGTTATTCGAGGGCTCAATTATTTGCGGTTATTTTAAAACCAGAAATGAGCAGGAGCTTCTCCATTTCTGAAGCCGAATAAAGCAGTCGATACGCGCCTACGCTGCTCGAAGCGCATATGATTTCGCAGTTCGAGGCTGCAGTAATCCCCGGGGCGTCGTGCCGTGCGGGTACCGCCGAGGACTTGGACGAAGGTGGTGGAGTATACGACCCGCAGACCTACATGACTGTGCCGCATCCTGGAACACCTCGGTTCCGAAGAAGTCAAACACCAGGATGTCCTTTCACATAGGCCGCGGTCACAGAACTGAACTTTTTAAAGCATAGAAACAACGCATAAATACAAGACGGGCTGCAACGCCCTCTTTTGTCATGTCAGTCAATCATCATTCCGATCTTTTGACTATCTGCCAGATCAATGGTGCCATCTCGGGGAACAAATATAAAAGTCGAAAAACAACAGGTATTCGTTGATTGTTTGTTGAAATCTCTAAGGTTTGCAAGCATGCCCCCTCCTCTTAAAAGAACGTCATTGGACAAGTGGCTGCAGGACAATGCCGCGAAGAAAACACACTGGGAATTCTTCGACAACAGTGCCATGTGACACTGAGTGCAGTGTGGGTGACAAGGATACGAGTACTGCACATTCACCGGGATCACGGACAGAAGTGGAGGAATTCCAAGCCCCACAATCGTCTCGAATAGGTTCTGTTGCGAGCATCGTAACGAAGTTTCATCCAGCCAGCGACTATCGGTTTCCTAAAAACGCTGAAGGGAGAGCCTGTTTGCCTGAATGGTTCGAGAAGTTCAGATGGCTTCACTATAACTGCGATAGTGACAGTGCGCTGTGCTCTGAATGTGTGGCATGGTGCACTATGAAATGCGAAAACAGTGTTCGTGGTGCCGAGGTGACTTTCATTTCATCCGGCTTCAGAAACTGGAAGAAGGCCACTCAGAAGCTTAGAACTCATGAAAAAAGTGAATGCCACAGCCGGTTCGTGGATAGCTTGTTGCAGAGACTGCAGAAAGCACCAGTGATCAAGCTTCTCAGTGAGCAGAGCCTGAAGGAGCAGAATGAGGCGCGAACGGCACTCCGTGTTGTCTTCAGTTCCATCAGATATCTTGCACGCTCGGGTCAGGCCCTGCGCGGACATTCGTATGAAGATGGAAACCTGCGGCTTCTACTCGACGAAAGATCTCAAAACGTCCCGGCCTTGGAGATGTGGATGAAAAGGCGGGACAAGTGGCTGAGCGCTGACGTTCAAAACCAAGTCATTGAAATCATGTCTCACGAGCTGGTGCGGGGCATCATACAGGAGGTAAAGCATTCAACCTTATTCAGCATCATTGCTGACGGCACGACGGACGTTTCATCCTCTGAGCAGTTCTCGCTGTGCATCAGGTGCGTGGATCCAGACACACTGCATGTAAAGGAGATTTTTGTTGGCAACCCGAGTGATACCACAGTAGCAATTCTTTTTGCTGGGATCAAAGGCATGATCATGCGGTTGGGTCTAGACTTTCAGAACCTTCGTGGACAGTGCTTTGATGGTGCTGCAAATATGTCAGGAAGGTTAAACGAGGTACAGAAAAAAGTGACCGAAGTGCAGCAAAAAGCTGTGTACGTTCATTGCAGCAACCACGCCTTAGATCTTGTTCTGCAGGAGGTTGGAAGAGGCTGCGAGCTGATTCGCGACGCGCTTGCCATTGTTAAGGACGTTTCGGGAATCATAATGGAGTCAGCGAAGCGAACGAAAGCATATAAGAATGTTGTGATATCTCATGGCCACGAGAGCTAAGAAGGTACCATCACCAGTGAAAAAGTATCCAAGCTGCTTCCCCTGTGCCCCACCCGGTGGGTTGTTCGAGTAAAAGCGATGATGCGCTTCGTCGAGAACTACGAAAGGGTGCAACTAACCCTGAAAGACATTTTGAATGACAAGGGGTATCCGCGAGACGACAAGAAGGCAGCAATACACGGCTTCTTGAAGAAAATGCAAAAGTTCGAGAACGCGTTTGGTCTCAACTGCGCCATCACAATATTTGGATCATGCGAAGAACTTGCAACATCGCTGCAGAAGCCAGATACTTCTGTGGGAGGAGCGCTGAGGGCGACGGAGGTCCTGGAAGCACACTTGACAGGGCAAAGAAAGTAGAGTGGTTTCCAAGAAGTGTACGAACGTACAGAGGGGGCAGCAAAGAAGCATAAGCTAAAGGCCCCTTCAAACAAGACAACGCGATGCGGTCCTCCAAGAAGGTTCGAACACAGCAGCGAGCCCTGTCAACCAGCGGTTCTAGACGCGGAGACAGGCCTTCGGAAGCAGTTCTACGAAGCGTTAGATTGTGTTCGCACCGAGCTTGCAAGACGATTCAAGCAACCAGGCATGCAAAGCCTCGCACAACTAGAGCAAATAATTTTGTGCGCTATTCATGAGAAGCCACAAACTGGAGAACTTGAAAGGAAGTTAGGATTCCACGCTACTGATTTTCACCTGGACAGCCTTTCAAGGCAGCTGAACATGGTTCACTCGCTCTCAAGCGGTCAGATCGGCTCCGTACCCGAGTTGTGCCGTGCTCTGGGCAGACAAGTCCCAGAGGTCAAAAGGATGATGACTGAGGTGATGCGCCTTGCGGCACTTATAATGGCAGTGCCAGCTCCAGCGGCATCAGCTGAACGAAGTTTCAGCGCACTTCGGCGTATCAAGAATTACCTCAGAGCAACCATGTCACAAAAGCGACTGACTCAGGTGATGCTGCTCCACGTAAATAGTGAGCAAGCAGCAAAACTTCATCTGAACTCTATCATCAGAGAGTTCGTGTCGAGGACGGCTGAACGACGAACCGTTTTCGGGCACCAGTGAGCTCTTTCTTATTTCACGCTGTTTGAAGACGTCAACATGGGAGAAAAACAAGATCACCACATTCCAAAAGAGGAAGGACATATATTCGTTCTAAATAAACGTTTGTGAGAGTTTCGATTTTATATATCCATATTGTTCTAGGTGCTTCATCCCCCCCCCCTCCCACCCCACCCCAATTCCGTTGCCCCCCCACCTCAGAAATACTTCCGACGCCACTGGGCCCCACGGCACGCGCGTGCGTGCCTCGCTTATAGAAAGCGGGAAGTTCAAAAGAGACTCACGCCACACTTAGTGCGCAGACAGTCGTACAAAATCACTTTTTCTAAATTGCTTTCGCTGAATAGAGCCAACTCCAAGTCATGGTCAAAAAGATCGAGCACCATTGTTGTCGGAAAGCTCGTCTGCTTCTTTAGTAGACGAACAGTTTAGAACTTCGCAGTGTCAGGGGCGACACGCCGTGGTGCGCCAGGTTGTGTATTACGGAAGCGCATTCATTCCAGAAAAAAGCGAGACGAACTATAAGTAGGTATACAGTAATTTAGGTTCTACATATATTTAGGGTGAGATCTTTATTTACTTGAGTTTCTGTGATTTGTACAAACACACGTAAATTTGTTTTTTCTCGATGAGCCGGATGCAGGTTTCCGTTGCCAGGGGGCGCGACCTGTACCGATCGTCTGCTTTCGTCTGCAAATACGGTTCCCCCAAAGCCGTTTCAGGGCACACGATCGGTCCACATGCCCGATCCAAGGTATCGTTCGTTTTTGTTTATCGATCGTATTTTGTTCCGGTTCCCTAAAACTCTCTAATAGCGCCGCGTGTCGCGATATTGCCGCTCCGGTCATCGCTCACTTGTGCTACTGTTTTTCCGTAGCAGCTGTACACTCGGAATTAAAGCTGTCTAGAGCGCGGGAGCGGTGCACTCCGGACAGCGCGTGCGACATCTGCCGGCGGACGCCTGGCCCGAGATAGCGCGCCTCCGGGCATGAGCCGCCATTGTGCAGCGCTGAGAAGATCCCAACGTTTGTGCTGACCCTTCTGTAGACACCCTCAACCGCCAAAGGAGCGCTCGACGCCTCCAGGTGGCGCTCGGTGTTGCAGCCCACGCGCCGCCGGCTCCGCGTTATCGCGCCTTCTATTGAGAGAAATGTATCCGCTGAACTTGCGCGCTTGCTTCCGCATTCGCTCGTAACCGCTCATGGTGTAGGCTGGAAGTTACGCATTTTCTTGTTCGCGTGCAACGCTTCTTCACCGCTACCACTTCGAGTACGTGTTATGTCTGCACTTTCGATAAATTGCTTTCACAACACACAACCGAGGCTCGTGATTCCGCGGTATGAACGTGGGTAGCGCACTAAAATTATTTCGTTCCTTAAAGCTTTTTGTCACTTGTGCAAGCAGAACCAAGCTCGTAATGACGCCACTAATTGAAATATTTGCTGTCTGGACGAGTCTTCCAATAGTGTAAACGACTCATTTTTCGCGGGCTCAATATTTCGCGATTTAGGTAAAAGCTGAAGTTTTGGAATAATTCGTGGGTCCAATATTCGCGACCGTGGTGGGATCTTAATATAAATTTCAATGTGTTTACATTTTACCGGAATTGTTCGCGGGACCTGTTTTTCGAGAATTGTAGGCGATTCGCGAAATTCGCGGAAACTAAGTCCGCGCGAAAATTACGTCGTTTACAGTATACAGCGTGTCACAAGACGCTTGTGTTTTCGTGCAAATATTTTAATGCAGTTGACTTCATTTTGGAACAGGGATTAAAAAAAAAAAAAGTGGGATGGACGAAAAGAAAAAAAAAAAAATCTCGAGATAAAATAATTTTGAGTGTTCGTGGTAAAGCACAGAGATTATGGCACGTGGACTGAGTAGCGGGTATACTTCGTCTCACCTTAGTATGGACTATTGTTAGCCGCGCGTGCTAAAAGCGCGAGCTAGTCGCTTTGAATGAAGCCGCGGCGGCTGCACAAGCGCTCGTGCAGCAAGCGCTCTAGTCAAGGCAGTCAAGGTTGGCCGCTCGCGCTACCACAGCCTTCGCGGTTAGTTCATGCTAGTGTGAGACGAAGTATAGGGAGTATTCACTGGCGGCCAAATCCGTGTGCGCTGCTGCTGAGCGCGTGCTGACGGCGAGCTTCCGCAGTCTTTTTGGAGCGTGCATTTAGCACCAGCAAGGTTGCCGGTCTTAGCAGGCTATTAATGTGAGCTTGTTCTGAGCATGCGCTCTAAACATCGCCCTCAAATATGGTGTCCAGTGAATACCTCCTATAGGACCGTTCTGGAGCCGCTGTCGAGGTTCGGGTCCTCGGCGGAAGTAAGCGCACGAGTTCAGCGGCTGAATAAACTGATCTCAGCGAGCGTTCGGCGCATGCGTGACGCCGCCATAACTTTAGCTCACAGGAGACAAGCAGCAGTGCACGAGATGGCTCGTGCCTTCTCGTGCTCTACACGCGCAAAGCTCCAGCGAGGTTGTCGCACGTGCAGAAAGACTAAAGTTCCCTCGATGCATTGCGGCAGCGATGGCGTAGTCAAAGTGACTGGTGAGATCGGTATATTCCTCACGGAAGAACGAGCGATAATACGGGAGCAAGCGGCACGTGGGTCGCCACACAGAACGTCTTCATTTCGCGGCCTGGAGGCTCCGAGCGCTCCTTTGGCGGTCAGGAGAGTTTACAGAAGGGTCGGCATAAACGTTGGCATCTGCCCAGCGCTGTGCAATGGCGGCGCATGCTCGGAGGCGCGCTATCTCGGGCCCAGTGTCCGCCGGTGGATGCCGCACGCACAGTCCGGAGCGCACCGCTCCCGCGCTCTATAGACAGGTTTGATGCCGACTTACGAGACAGAAACACACGATTCACTTCATGGCTGCAAATATTCCGTGTCCTCTTTTATTTCGTGTATTTCTCGGACCATTTTCGAAATTGAATCGCCCTCGGGCTCTCCCTGACACGCGGTGCACATGACCCACCGCTTTCTCGAGTGTCGAAAACCCTTGTGGAACTCTGGAAAAGTTATTGTCTCTAGTGCGTCTGTCGCTTCTTAGGGTGAATCCAGGTCATAGATTTGGAGCGCTCCAAAAAGCAGATCCGGCTCTACTAGCTTATCCTAATTTTGAAAGTGCCCCTCTGGTGCTTAAGTTCGCCTCTAGAAAAAAAAAAAGTTTCTCTATAGCGAGATCCCGGCTAATGAGGAGTCTTTGGTTCGTGCAGGATTACCGGGAAGAGAAGTGTGTATCGGAGAGCGTGAAGGCACTCCAGGAGTCGGCCAACCTCCGACGCGCCCCCTTCTTGGCTGGAACAAGTAAGGCCTCCGTCTCGAGTGGGTTCGACATCGAGACTAGCTAGAAGACGAGGACCACGTATGACGTCATCGTCAGTTGGTCTCTGACCCGCCCCAAGCGGTCCACCCGCTAATGCAAGACTATAACCGCCCACGCGTCTTGGCGTCGCCGACGGGTATCGTCGCGCTCCTTGACGCGAGAGACAGGTGGCGTTGCGTCTCTCCTCTAGGTACGACGTTTGGGGGAAAAGGCCTAGGCCACGTCTTCTAATGCTCTTTTGATTGAAAGCGGTGGTGTTGAAAGCGACGAGGCTCGTTTTTCACGCATTTTGACTACGATCGAGCGCGTCACGACCTCTTGTGATCTCTTACGACCAGAGAACACAGCATCTATGTGTATCCGTAAAACACCCCTGATTTCCGCATATTTTTCACGGCTTCGCGCATCAATCTTTTATTATCGGCTCGAAAAAGAAGAAAAAAAAACATTGTACAGTGTTATAAACAAACATTTCGTGTGGATAGTACGTATACATTTGATCTCGCACAATACTAGAAAACCTTCGCTCTAGTGAAATGCAGTTCTGGGGTCATCTTATAGACGGTGCCAGTGCGCCAGTGTATTTAAGGTCCCTATATAACTGTCTTCTCTCGTCGTAAAAGTATCGCGAAATTTCGTAATGCATTCGTTCGCAAGCAGTCACGAGTGTGAACCAGCATTTGAAAATGACGACGTTACTGGTAACGCCTTACTTTTCTCGACAAATTTCGTTAGGTTTCCGAACGACTAAGGAGTAGAGTATTTTCGTCGCTATTTTCCGGTATCGTCTATTAAATTACGTTACTCGTTACTCGATAATTTTGACTAATAACGTTTTGTTAACATAAGAACGAGAAAAAAATTTAATTTTGTAAACTGTTCCGAAATGGAGAAGCAGTATTTGCTTCGCGGCATAATTTCGAAATTCTTCGCTGAGAAAGCAAAACTATCCGATCAAAATTGAGGGAATTATATATTCCGCGGATTTGAATTCGAAAACAACATAAAAATAAGCAGTATGAAACTGCTCGCGAAAAGTTTCATACTAGTCCAGGTTGGTATCCGCGGGTTATCGCTGCCAGATAATACTGCAATCCGAAGTAGCGCCAGAGTAACGCTCCTCACTTGTTTGTAAGTAACGATAAGGGCATTTCGTTGCATCGACACAAAGACAACGAACCTCGGTAACCCCGTTAATCTTTGACGAAGGAAAGCTCTACTCGGGTATTTATTTTCGGTGACGGGCGCAACACTGGTTGAACACCACCTATTGCCACTCACAGAGTGAGGACGGCCTGTCTACGGAACATGCCTTCCGCAGTGCTTTGGCTGCGCACCCCTGGTGCACAAAACGCCGAAGCGTTGTCGAAGGTAGGATGGTCGCGCTAGAGGCGGGAGATTCCTGCCACTCATACCTTATCAGGAAAAAAAAAGGCAGATATATTTGAGATTGCTTACGAGTAGAATAGCGAAAGGAATTCCTACACGGAGCGCATTCCTACAAGCAGCGCGCCACTTCTTCCTATCGCACGCCGCGCTCCGGTGGTGAAAACTCCCTCTCCCCCACTGCGCAAGCGCGGTGAACCCCGCCGGCTCCACGGCTTCTGTGACGATACACGCGTTACTGAAAAAAGTAACCGATTACAGTTACAATTACTTTATTAAAAATGGGATTTATTACAGTAATCAATTAGTGCGTCGCGAAAGTAATTAAACATTACCAGAAAGTAAGTGGTTACTTTTCACGTTATTACTCTTTTTAACTTTTTATCAAGAAATCAAAAATGAGTACATTTGTTCAAAGTGGTTACATATTCATTCTTATTTTCGCTCACACTTCGTTAACCTTCAACAGCAGTTGTCGTTGGAAGGTGTTGTCAGTCATCTTCCCAGATTCGCTGGTGAAGAGATCTGCCGCGACGCTGAAGACCCTCTCGACGGATGCGTTTGAGGGAAGAGCGGTGTTGTAGCGCACGAACTATTGGCGTACCGGTTCGTGGTTGCGCTGGTGAACGCTTTCAGGATGGAAAGGGGTGTCTTTGTCGTGGCTAGATAATATTAGTGAAGAACGCAGTTTTCTAGGGCGCGCGGCAAACCCTGATCGTAACAGCCCATACACAGGAAACGAGGCACTCTCGATAGCTTGACAGTCAAAATGTCGCTGAGCGCATTGACATGCCAATCCTTCTTGTATTTTTTGTTTTTGTTTTTAGTTCTTGAGGGTTACAAAAAGTCTCCAACGTTCGCGCAACAACGACGAGTGACGCTTTGGCTGACAGTGCGATTTTTTACGTAAATAACGCAACTCAATAATTTTAGCTCTTTCGGAAACATATAATTGATTACTTGTAATTAATTACACGGAACTATTAATTGAGTTATTGGCGAACGTTACAGCTGAAAAAAGAAGTAATTGAAGCGTTAAAAAGGTAAAATAAGATTTACGTGATTACAAGTAATGAGCAATGAGTTGTACGTAACTGGTTACGTACACGTCTGGTTAACAGTCATACAGCCGCCGTCCCTCACTGCGCCTCCGAAAAGGGCGACCCATAATGCCTAGATCCTTCTTCTACTTGGCATGGGATAAATGGATACGGCTGAACCCTTTTAATCGGGCGGCGGCTTACAGCACCTGACCGAAGCTTTTGATGCCAGCAATGTGTCGAGACATCACAGCAACTTTTTGCCATTTAGCGGACACTACTCAAAATTCATGCTCTCGTTTATTCTACAAACACTGTATAAGAAAGCGGATTGCCACTGCTGTGGCATGGCTCAATATTAGCCCATCGGGCATACCTTACTCGAGTCTAAGGAACGAAGACCGCACTGTTTTCTTCTGGGCTCCGTAGTCTTTGGCGGTTGCGTACATGCCGACCCCAGCGCCAAACAGGTTCGTTTATATTTGGCAGTGACTATCTCGACGTCCACCGTCAAAATATTTCAAAAATTATTTCGGCGTCTGTGACGTCACTTCCGTACAAAGTCAAAATAGTGGATTTATTATTCCGACGTCCTCCTCCGATGCAGCGGCCCGTAGCAGTCGTCCCGGTGGGAGCCGTTTTCAAGTTTCGTTTTGTTTAGTTTCTGGTGGTGTCGTCGGTGTTGTGTTGACGTTTCGAAGGATTCACGTGTTGCGTGCCTAAGAACTCTCGGTCCTAGTTGGCAGTGTGCGGGACTGGCTGGACAGTTCATCCTTTCGGACGTGACACGGCCGCAGTGGCGATGTTCTGAGCGTTCTGAGCTCGCATCTTGGCACGCCTGTCTGCCAAGATGGCTTGGCGTGTGTCATTTAATATTTTGAATCTACAAGAAGGGCGAGCTGGATATCCCTCTGTCTTACCTGCACGTAACAAGTGTAAGTGCGTGCACTACGTAACACTGAGAAATTCGGCACGCTTTTTGTGCCTTCATATCGTGTGAGCGCATCTTCGTAAGGTTGCAGTCTCGCTTTGCATCTGGCACACGCCCTCTTTTTAACCGGGTTTTGAGAGTTCGTTATTTAGTTCAGATTTTCCGTTTGGCTCGTGTAAAACGAGTCGATTAACTACAAAACGATCGGGATGTTAAACAAAAGGTTGGGAATGCATGACATTGCTTCCTTGATGGTTCTTAACCCGTGCGTACAAACAAAAGTCCTGGCCAGAGGTCGGCATTTTAGGTCGCCCTCACTCACCCTCACCCTCACAGCCACACTTACCTAAGCCCCTCACTCACCCTCACCCTCACAGCTACACTCACCTTCAGCCCCTCACTCACCCTCACCCTCACAGTCACACTCACCTTCAGCCCTTCACTCACCCTCACTGAACCTCACGGCCCTCACGCACTCACCGCCCTCACGGCCCTCACGCCCCTCACGGCCCTCACGGCCCTCACGGCCCTCACCGCCCTCACGGCCCTCACCGCCCTCACGGCCCTCACGCCCCTCACTCACTCATGGCCCTCACGCCACTCACCGCCCTCACGGCCCTCACCGCCCTCACGGCCCTCACCGCCCTCACGGCCCTCACCGCCCTCACGGCCCTCACGCACTCATAGCCCTCACGCCACTCACCGCCCTCACCGCCCTCACGGCCCTCACCGCCCTCACGGCCCTCACCGCCCTCACGGCCCTCACGCCACTCACCGCCCTCACGCCACTCACCGCCCTCAAGCGCCTCACCGCCCTTGCGGCCCTCACACCCCTCACGCCCCTCACGTACTGATGGCCCTCACGCCACTCAGGCCAGCTTCAGATGGGGCAATTTCGCCCAGAAACTTTACGTCGCAACACCAGCAACACGGGCCGCCCGCGATCACACGCAGCAACGAATTGCTGCAATTTGTTATCGTCATCATAAAATTTTATTTTTCTTGCACTATTTAGACACAATTACGCGTTATAAACGTTTATAAACGTGTTTTTATGCATTTAAGTCTCGTTAAGAATACTAATGCACCTTTCTAAAACAGTTTATTTCCAAAAAAACGATCGATTTCAAACCAGAACCAAGTCTTTCGGTGTCATCATCACCGGCACGAGGTGTCACGTGAAAATTTTGCGTCCCTGATTGGATGCAGCCGCTTCAAACGCATTCGAATTGCTCCGAGTTGCATGGCCCTCACGGCCCTCACCGCCCTCACGGCCCTCACGGCCCTCACGGCCCTCACCGCCCTCACGGCCCTCACCGCCCTCACGGCCCTCACGCCCCTCACTCACTCATGGCCCTCACGCCACTCACCGCCCTCACGGCCCTCACCGCCCTCACGGCCCTCACCGCCCTCACGGCCCTCACCGCCCTCACCGCCCTCACAGCCCTCACAGCCCTCACGGCCCTCACCGCCCTCAGCGCCCTCACAGCCCTCACGGCCCTCACGGCCCTCACTCACCCTCACACTCATGAATTTTCCTGGTTCAGAAACTCACTCACCCTCACCTCACCTGTGAAGATGAGGGTGAGTGAGGGTGAGTGAGGGCCCTCATGAGTGAGGATTG